CAGGCAGCCACCTTGCAGGTGAGCGACGCACCCAGCTCCAGCCGGCTGCTGGGAGCCCCATCCAAGCCAAAAACCTCACCCAGCCACCGCGCAGCCCTGCCCCACGGCGCCGAGGGAACCATCGCAGGGCTCCCGTGCGCGCCGGGCGCCATGGACAGGTCGCCGTCCCCCGTGGGTTTGCGGTTGCTGATGCATCACCAGGGCGCTGGGGTTTAAGTGGGAGCCTAGGCTGGATTTGCAGGGCTGGGGTAGCATCACCACTCCCTGGGTGCCCTGGGACCTGGCTGGACTTGCTCTCATCCCAGGAATTTGATATCGCTGGGAAAAGTGAGATGGGGTGGGAACGCAGAGCGGTGACCCCAACAAGACGCGGGTGCCGATTCCACCAGACGCACCAGGGTGAAAACGCAGGAAAAAAACAAACCCACGTGTTTTTTTCTTTTATTTTTCCCCTCCCAAAGGCTCGGCCCCTCCCAGCCTGGCTTTAGGACCAGAAACAGCGCCTTTACTTGGAAGATTTCTTCCATTCGAACAAAATATTTCAGCTGCCTCAAAGAGAACCAGAAAGCAGCGGGAAAAATCCTTCCTCAGACAGAATCTCCCCGTCGCCCCTTTTGTAAAGATTGATTTTGCTGAGCTGTTTCGGTTCCCTAAAGGACGATGTTTTCTCACTTCTTTTGAAAAACCGCCACACCAATACAATTTTCCCCTCTTTGCAGCAGAATCACCAGTGCTGTCCCAGCGGGACTCCGAGACCCCGCAGCCAGACCCCTCCATGTATTTGGTACAAAAGCCCCTTAGCATTAAAAAACCTCAAAGCGCCCTCCCTAAAATCACATTAAACTCACTTAAAAATAAGCTCACTGTGGCCATTCCCGGTATTTTGGGGGAATAAATCCATTGCCCAGTGGGACAGGGAGTTGTCGCCCTGGCAAGGGCTGGGGGGGCCACCCTAGGGACCCTCAGGGCACCCCCAGGTCCCCTGCAGGGTGTTGTCCCCTCGCTGGCTGGGCGTTACAGGGTGACACCCTAAAAATACAGCACTTGGGGGTGGTGGTGGGGCTTTTCTCTCCTCTCCGCAGCCCGAAGGCGCCCATCGGCAGCTCAGCCTCCTCAGCCAGGGCTGGAAAAACAGGCTGGGAAATATTTGGAGGCTGTGACTCAGCGCAGGAAAACTGCTCAGCCCCAGCTGACGCCGCGCAGAAACCCAGCCAGTGCAGGCAGGGCCCCCCCCTCCTACCCCAGGGGGTTCTCTGGTGTCTCGTAAGTGTTGAGCTAACCCTTACCTGCAGCTTGCCGCTCTCCTCTGAAGCCAACCCCCCCTGTGGTCACTGGCAATGCAGAGGGGACCTGGACAGGGATGCCTGGACGGGGACTTTGGCATGACCAGCAAAGCCAAGGGAGACCTGCCCTCCTGCCTCAGTTTCCCCAGTGCCTTTGAGCTGCCCCAAGAGCACTTTTCCCCCTGTGCACGGTGCAAAGAGAGGCTCTGCCCTACAAACCTCCAGCAAACCTTTACCGTGCCCGAGCCCCACATCCCCGCTCTGGTGGGTCCTACCTGTCTGCAGGGGCCGGAGGGTCCAGGTAGCCCCAGAGCCAGGATTTGGCTCCTCGCTGCTGCTGGGGCACGCAGAGCAGGGACGCACCTCGGTCTGCAGGGACAGGGTGGCCCCCACGCAGGGATCTTATCGGCAGCTGCCAGGGGCTCCTGCCCGCATCCTGATAAGTGCTGGGCTCCACATTGTAGGGTTGGGGTGCCCCCTGCGAGGCTTCAACCCCCCCTCCCAGCCCGCTCAGCTCCACCCCAGCAGCAGGACCCGATTCTCCCAGGACACCCACATTGGGGTGAGTGTCAGTGCCCCAAATCCTGGCATTCCAGGAGGGTGCTACACCCAGGAGAGGACCCAACAGTCGCTGCAAGGAGGGTGCACTGAAGTCAAACCCACCCCCTCGGGCAAATGGGGAGTGCATGGCCCCCCCCCCGTGTCCCCTTGGACAACCCAGGGCCACCCCCAGAACAGTGGGACACCCCCCAGCCCATACTGTGATACGCAGGACCAGTCCCTGGGGCTGAGCAAGGGGAAGCTGCTGCCCTGCAGAGGCACTTGGAAAAAGCAG